GTGATTTCTAGGCCAGCCTGGTCTACACAGCAAGTTCCAGGCCAGCTAGGCTACAGGGAGACCCTGCCTCAAAAAGACAAAAAAAAAAAAAAAAAAAAATGTCTTGCAGGGCATGGTGGCACCCACCTTCCAGAGGCCAGCCTGGTCTACATAGTGAGTTCCAGGCCAGTTGTGGCTACAAAAAGACCCTGTCTCAAAAACAATAACAACAACAAAAGAAATCTGTGAAATGTTTCTAAGTGGTGAGCATCATTTATTTAGAGATTAGGGGGGTCATTTTAACAAAATCAGCAATCCTTTCAATCGGAGGACATAGCACTAAGTATTATAACAAACTACAAAAAGAATTGGACACTTTTTTAAGGATACCAGTCAAGGACCAGGTCTACACACAAAAGAACTCTAAGAATTGTTGAGCCCAGGACCACTCGCCTTCATCCTTAAACAAGAAGAACCAATTTCTTTATGTTTTATCTTGGTTTTTTTGTTGTTGTTGCTTTGTTTTTGTTTTTCTGACAGGATCTTGCTATCCAGTCTTGGCTGGGTGGGTTCTTGGTATGTATCCCAAGGTGGCCTAGAACTTGTAGCAATCCTCCGCTTCAGCCTCCCAAGAGATAGGATTTCAAATGAGATCCCACCATGCTTGGCTTCAATTTCTTGTGTGTTCCTGTGATTGTACATATGTGCAGGCACACATGTATGTGCATACACATGCCTATGGAGGACTTAGGTGTCATTCTCAAGCACCATCCACCTTTTTTCTTTTACTTATTTTTATGCGTATGAGTGTATTGCCTGCATGTATGTGAGTGCATCCGTGTTGTGCAATGCCGCGGAGGTCAAAGGCAGCTTCGGATTCCCCTAGAACTGGAGTCAAGGACGGTTTATAGCCGCCATGTGGGTGCTGGGAATCGAACCCTGGTCCTCTGCAAGAGCAGTCAGTGCGCTTAACCACTGAGCCATCATCTCTCCAGCCCCCTTTCTTTTTTAAAAAATATTTTATTATTTTTATTTTATGTGTATGAATATATTCCCTGCATGTGTGCAAGTACATGCATGTCATGCAGTGCCCTCGGAGGTCAGAGGAGGGAGTCAGATCCTCTGTAACTGGAGTTATGGACGGTTGTTAGCCTCCATGTGGGTACTGGGAATCAAACCCAGGTCCTCTGCAAGAGAAGTCAGTGCTCTTAACCACTGAGACATCTCTCCAGCCCATCTTTTTTTTAAATACAAGGTCTCTCACTGGCCTGGAACTTGCTAGTAGGATAGGCTAATTGAACAGCAAGCCACGGGAATCCACCTGCCTCTGTCAGCCAGAACTTAGATTACAAATGCTTAATGCAGGGACTCAGACTTACCCAGCTTTTTCTTTTTTCTTTTTTAATTTTTATTTTATGGGTATGAGTGTTTTGCCTGCATGTATGTAAGTGCACCATATGCATGCAGTGCCCTCAGAGGTAAGAAGGGGGCATCAGATCCCCTTGAACTGGAGTTACAGGCAGCTGTGAGCCACCATGTGGGTGCTGAGAACTGAACCCAGGGCTTCTACAAGAACAGCAAGTGAGCCATGTCTCCAGCCCCATTCTCTTTCTCTTTTTACATGGGTTCTGGGAGCAAACATTGGCCCTCACGCTTACAGGGCACTTACTGGCTTAGCTATCTCCAGCCCTCTGGACGCAATTTCTTTTTGCCACCTTTCTGTTTTAAAATTATTTCATGTGTATGAGTATACTGCCTGCATGTGTGTGAGTACACCTGTATCGTGCAATGCCACGGAGGTCATAAAAGGGTGTCGGATTCCCCTGGAACTGGAGTTAAGGACAGTTTGTAGCCGCCATGTGGGTGCTGGGAATCAAACCTGGGTCCTTTGCAAGAGCAGTCAGTGCTCCTAACTGCTGAGCCATCTCTCCAGCCCCAACCTTTCTGCTTCTTATCCTCAACTGTGACGCCTAGCCAGCCTCCCACCCACCCCACCCTGAGCTCTTTCATTCTTAAATCTTATTTCTTTACCAGGGCCTTCAACCCTCTCCCAGACACCTGGGCCCTATAAACTTGGGCACCATGCCTTAATCCCCAACTGAGCAGAATTACAGTCCCCTTCCCTAAGAAGGCCAATTCCTTCCCCGCTGGCTCTCTGTTGGTGACACTGTTCGTCTTCTGACTGCTCACATTTGTAACTGGGCCTATCTCCTCTTCCCTCCCTCTCTCCCTACACAACTCCAGGGCAAGCCTTCCTTTGACCCACTGCTTCCCTGCCCACTTTCTACCCACTGTGGCTGCCAGGTTGCCATGATCAGATCCTATCACTATCTGTTCAAACCTGCTTCCCCTCATCCTCAAAATACTAACACACACACACATACACACACACACACACACACACACACACACACACACACACACACGACACAATTCAGAGAGCTTTGCATTTACCAGCTCAATTAACCTCACAACACAAACTTTTTTTGTTTTTGAGACAGTCTCTCAATGTAGCCCTAGCTAGCCTGGATCTCCCTATGTAGACCATGCTGGCCTTGAACTTACAGAGATCTTCCTGCTTCTGCCTCTGCTGGGATTAAAGGCATACACCACCATGCAGGGACCTTGCCCTTATTTTGTAGGCTGGTGACTGACACAGGCACAAGGTCAGGTCAGTATAAATGAGCACCCAGAACTACCCATCTTCAGACTTGTGCAAACTTCACCAGAGCCTGGACACCTGCCTTCTGCCTCAGCTCAGCTCAGCTGGAGGACCAGCTCCTGACAGGCTGCTCAATGCTTCGAAAGCTACGAAGTGAAAAATGTATGTCCTTGTTTATGTTCTGCATAGCAGAATACTTACACTTGAAGGAAGGCCACAGAACTTGGGTAGGAGCACAACTGGGCATAGGAACCACAATGAGGCACCTGAGTGCAGTCCGTGTAGGTGCACAGGCAGATGATTTCCAAAGGTTGTGGAGGTCTGACACAGGACCTGGACATACTCAATCCACCGCCCTCCCAGGCATACAGTATTCCTAGGCTAGTCCAAAGCAGATCCCTCCTTCCAGGAATGCTTCCTTTTATATGTGTGTAGGTATACATGCACACATGCATGTGGAGCAAACTCACGTGTCACTCCTCAGGTGCCAACCACCTTGTTTTTTTGAAACACAGTCTGTCATTTGGCCTGGAGCCCACCAAGCTGGCCAGGCTGGCTGGCTATTGGGACCTCAAGGATCCACCTGTCTCTGTCTCATCAGTATTGGGATGACATGTATGCACCATGATCATGCTCACTTTTTTCCTGCTTGTTTTTTGTCTTCTTGAGACAGGGACTCCCTGTAGCCCCAGCTGTCCTGGAACTCACTATGTAGACCAGGCTAGTCTAGAACTCATAGAGATCCACCTGCCTCTGCCTCCCAAGTGATGGGATTAAAGATGTGCACCACCATGCCCAGCCTTCAGTTTTGTTTTTTTTGTCTTTGGTCTTTTTGAGACAGGGTCTCCCTGTAGCCCCAGCTGTCCTGTAACTCTGTAGACCAGGCTGGCCTTGAACTCACAGAGATCCACCTGCCTCTGCCTCCCAAGTGCTGGGACTAAAGGTGTGCACCACCACGCCCCGAATCAGTTTTGTTTTTTAAAACTGGGTGCTGGGATCAACTGAGCCTCCCCCAGCCCCTGTAGGTATCTACAGTTATTCACAAGAGTCGGTTCATCTCAGTTTCTCAGGTCATCCGTCTTCTCAACTTAAGTTTAAGCTCTCTTATGACAAGAAGGGGTAAGATGGGGCTGGAGAGATGGCTCAGCAGTTAAGAGCACTGACTGCTCTTGCAGAGGACCCAGATTTGATTCCTAGCACCCACATGGCGGCTACAAACCGTCCTTCCAGTTCCAAGGGAATCCGACACCCAGTTCTCACCTCCTTGGCATTACACAATATGGGTGCAATTCCATACATGCAGGCAATACAGTCATACACATAAAAATAATAAATAATAACAATAAATAAGTAAAGTTTTATTAGAACAAAACTTTACTCATTCATTCCTATATGCTATGGCTGCCCCCAGGCTGCAAAGACAGAAGCCAGGGTTTGCTGACAGATCATATAACCACAAAGGCTACAATGAAGGTCATTTAGTCCTTTCCAGACAATGTTTGCCAGGTCCTGCCCTAAGATAAAACTATCCATGGCTGACTGGGGCTTGAAAACAGGTCATCATTCCCAGACTTTAGCTTTTGAACATCCGAGTCCTTAGATCGACCTCGTCTTTTTTAAAAAAAGAAGGGTTAAGAGTGATACTTCCACTCTCCCCAAAATACCACAGCAGCTTGAGGAAGGCTTTTGCCCAAACTGGGAAACTTTAGCTCTTGGCTCCCCAGTGAGCTCTGCACCTCAGTGTCCTGATCACTGAGAACCTACAGAGGTCCCCAAGTGCCAAGTGCTGGCCTGGCTCTCCCCTTGCACAAGTGCTACCTCAGCTCCCTCTCACAGGCCCAGACTCATGAGTCCACCTCACTCAGATCAGAAGTGTGGGGAAAGACATTCTCACACATGGATAGAGAAAGCAGAATTTTAAAAAGAAAAAATAAAGTCAACAGATGAGTGATAATCCTCTACCCTCTAGATTGCCCCTTCTGAAAACAGAACCATCTCCTTCACCCTCCTGTTAGCTCCCCTTCCCAGAGGGACAGAATGGTTGTCTAATGTCCTTGAATGGATGAAATTTGCCTCTCCATCTGAAAGTGAAGATTCTGCAAACATGAGGCACTGTGAAGCCATGACAGTGCTGGGCAGGAGAGCAGCTGAACCAAGACTGCAGGTCTTGGGAGTTCACTGAGCACTCAAAAGCAAGGTGCCTGCAGATCTTGGGAACTGGGCTCTCCAGTCAGTCCACCGGGACAGAGAAGGGACTGCACATACAGAACTGGGTAGAAAAGTCAACAGGTCTAAGACAGGCAATGTCTGAAGCTGCTTTTCACTGCCAGATGAAAACCATCACCACAAATACAGGGGCTACAACCATAAAACAGTATTTCGTTTATTTAGTAAAACACAGGAAAATGAGAAAAGTGAGATAGCTAGTAAGGACTCTGAGTAGACCTCAGTACCAGGGAGTCAGGATGATCACAGAGAACGCCATCTGAATAAGTTGCCCCCACCTTGACACCTTGGCAATCCAGTGACTAAGAGAGAAACAGCAGTCTTTAGCTGGGTGTGATCATTCATTCATTCAACAAACATTTACTGAGCAGCCTACTAGCTACAAGCCTATGTTAATTATCTCCAACATATTCAACCTGTGAGATTAAAGTTATGATTTGGGCCTTTGTCCACCATCAATGACAGCACAAGCTAGCTTGGCCTCTTAAATTGCAGTCAATAGTTCTATAGCAAAAAGTCCCAACATCAGCTGCAGACACAACAGTTGGCCAAGGGACCACACTGTGTATGCAAGTAGCAGTCTGAGGGATCCAGAGAGAAGGACAGTGAGGATCAGATGCAGGCAGCCCACAGCCAGCACAAATGCCAGAGTCCCAGCCAAATCACCCTAAAGGTTTCCTCATGTTATTTAGTTTCAAAGTAAATTTACTTTATAAGCAACTGGAGAATCTTTTATTTAACAATGTCCTGAACTAAAAGTTTACAAAACTGGTACCTTCAAATCACAATACTGAGTTTTATAATAACCCATCAACAGGAACTAAAAGAAGGCAGATGTAATGCCCAAGAGATGGAGAGCATTCACACAGTTTAACTGTTCAAGACAGCTCAGCATCCATATGTGGGCACAGGGAGGCTTCTATGCTGGTATGCTTGCTGTAGATCGCTCCCTCAGAGACCAGAGCAGGCTCCCTGTGGCTCCTCCCGGGCCTCCTGCTGCTCCCAGGCATCGTCTTTCTGGGGCTGGTTTCCTTCTGCTGCAGCTTGGTGTCTGATAGTCACCTGTCAGGATTTCCAGGAAATATGACTACTGTCATCACACTTACAAGGCCAGATATAAGCATGTCACTCAGAGCCCACCATTCCACTCAGCTGACGCCTAGTGACAAGGCACATTCTGCCATTAGTGAAACATTCAACACTAATATCTTGTCTCTTATGACAAACAGCAAATACAATAAAAATTTCTACAGAACCACACTTTCAAGAGTGGCAATTCCTTTGTTCCAAGCAACAGGCTACTGCTAAGCTCTACCCACAGCCCAACAAGGACAACTTTGACAGTAAGGTACTCACAGCCCTTGCTTCTCCTATTCGCCTTAAAATGATACCTTCTGCCAATAAAGCCTTTCCTGTTTCCACAAATAATTTCTCTTCATTTGTTTCTCCAAGATTCTGCAGCTCAATGTACTTTTCCACAAACCTGGAAAAAAGCAGCCTCATTTTAGGTCAGTGTATTAGGGCCATGTGGGCACAGTATCAAGCAAGCCCTGGACAGACCTGCCTGTAAGAACACACTGTTCTAAAGTAGAATTACACAAAACTTCTCAAAATGGTAACCAAATCTGTAGGGGGGGGCATAACTTAGGACTTGAAAAACGGCTTACCGCTCGCAGGTGGACTTGAAGTTTGGATTGAACAAATCAAAAGCTTTTGGACCAGAGCCATAGGCAGAAAAAAATTTCCTGAAAATACAAAAAAACGCAGTATGAATTTTCAGTTTAGAATATGGACAGTGGGGTAGACAGAATAAAGAATAACTGCTAGGCCCTGAGAAGTTATGGCCTAAACCAAAGAGTTCAGGTTCTTTAAATAAGTAATGCATACACAGACATTAAATGGTATAAGAACTTCCATTCAAAAGTAACACTCCCTTTCCCTTCTGCACCCCAATCTTCATGTTCTCCCTTCAGGAAGCAACATTAAGCAGTTTTATGTGTACCCACATTCAGAAATACCCCACTAACATACAAGAACATCTGAGCCATCAGTCCTGGTGGGAGGGTTGGGGACGTAGGCATAGTAAGTGTGCAGGTGCATGCACCTGTGCATATTCATCTGGTGACCAGAGCAGGATATCAGGTGACTTCCTCTACCACTCTCCACCTTGTTGCCTTGAGGGTCTTTCACTGGCCCAGAAGCTCACAATTTTGGCTCAGCTGTCCTGTCAGCATGCTCTCAGAATCTGGCTATCTCTGCTCCCCAATGCTGAGGTTACATACACACAGAGCCATGCCAAGCTGCTCACATGGGTGCTGGAGAGTCAAACTCAGGTCCCATGCTTGCACAGCAAGTGTTCTTACAAAGTATTTCCCCAGCCCCCTAACCACATTCTTTAACCCAAAGAAGTTCTCCATCTTTCCTTCCTTTTAAACTGGGATGAAATCTGCATCAAAAAAATTAACCCTGAGGCTAAAGAGATAGCTCAGTTCTTAAGAGCACTGACTACTCTTCATAGAGGACCTGTAGAGGGTTTGGTTCCCAACACCCACATGGCTGCTAACAACCTTTCCTAACTCCAGTTCCAGGGGCTCCAACACCCTCTTCTGGCCTCCATGGGCACTGCATGCACATGGTGCATATATATATATATATATATAACATTCATACACACAAAAAATAAGAATTAACCCTTTTAAGTGTACAATTTAATCAATTTATTTCTCTAATGAGTACATGTATATGTGTGAGAGTGTGTGTGTGAAATGGCACACAGGTGGAGACTGGGGACAATTCAAGGGAGTCACTGCTCTCCTATCATCTGAGTCCTAGGGACTGAACTCAGTCAGCAAGCTTGGCAGCAAGTGCTTTTATGTACTGAGGCATTATACCAGCCCTCCAAAAGTTTGATCAGCCATCAAGGCAGCCTAGTATCATTAAACAGTCACACGCTGCACACACATCATCTGTTTTAGAGATCATCTCACATCAGCACAGGCTATTTCTAGCCCTCTAGATGGTACTGCAAGAATCACCTATACCTGTACTTAGTGCACTGTACAAATTTAATTCACAAAAATGGTATTATGGGATTAAGGTGTTATTTACCTATAAATAAAGTCTTCCAAATTGCCAAAGTGCTTCCCAAAGCAGCTGTACTCAACTTACACTAGTATAAACTGAATAATAAAAGTATCTGTTTTCCCATATCCTGATCCCTATTTTTATACTTGCTAAAATGATAGGCTAGAGATTATAATTGCAGTTTCAATTCCATTTTTCAAAAAATGAAAGCCATTAGACATCTTTTCAAGTTTCAAAACAAACTGAATTCCTTTTATGTAAAGTATTCATTTTCTCTACCCATTTTCTATTTAGTGGTTGCTAAGGACTGAAAATTCCTATGTGGAAATCCCTGAGGTGTAAGAGCTTAAAATGGGAGGTTATCAGGTCACAAATGCAGCCAGCCCTTACATAGGACGGGTGCCTTTGGAAAAAAGACAGAAGACTTATGCTCTCTCTGCTCTCCTCATGTAAGGGCACAGCAAGAAGATGGCACTCTTCAAATGCAGAATTCAACCATGCTGAACCCTAATTTCAGATTTTCCAGCTCCCAAAACTAAGAAATAAAAATCTGGGTTTTTTTAAATTATTATTTTATGTGTATGAGTTATTGCCTGCATTGTCAGATCCCCTAGAACTGGAGTTATAGACAGTTCTTAGCTGTCATGTGGGTGCTGGGAATCAAACCCAGGTCTTCTGCAAGAACAGTCAGCTCTTAAGCTGAGCCATCTCTGCACCCCCAAAATCTGTTGTTTATAAGCTACCTAGGATATAGAGTTTGCTAAAGCAACCCAAACTAAGACAGTGGTCTTTTGTTTACTGATTTATAACCAAACTTTGTGGTCACATGAATTAGTCCTTTGTTGTACATGTTATAAAAAATTTTTCTCAGGCCAGGGAAGCAGCTCAATAGCCACTTGCCACACAAGCCTGATAACTTGAGTTCAATCTCCAGAACCCACAGTATGAGAAAACTGACTCCCAAAAGTTGTCCTGACCTCCACATGTGCACTGTAGAGTATGTCTGTCACATATACAATAATAAATTAGATAAATTTAAAATTTTCTTGATGTTTGACTGTCTTTTTGATTTGCTATTTGTATTTTGAATGCCTGCAGAAGACTTTTAACATTTTCATATATGGCTTCTGAGTTTTATATCATCTTTAAAAAGGCCTTTATTATTCAGATTATTTTTAAATTCTTCTTTGTTGCATTCCAGTATTTGTTAGGATTTTACTTTTTACATTCAGGTCTCCATATACCTGGAATTTCTTGTAATTTCTTAAACTATTAAAATACCAGAAAGGTGTGGTGGTGCATGCCTTTAATCCCAGCACTCGGGAGGCACAGGCAGGTGGATCCTCTGTGAGTTCAAGGCCAGCCTGGTCTACAGAGTGAGTTCCAGGACAGCTGGGGCTACAGGGAAACCCCGTTTCAAAAAAACCAAAAAAAAAAAAAAAAAAAATACCAGAAAGGCTTGGGCATGGTGGCAAATGCCTGTAATTCTAGCACTTGGGAGACAGAAGCAGGTAGATATCTCTGAGTTTGAGGCCAGCCTAATCTACAGCAAGACAGTGAGATCCTGTATTAAAACAACAACATAAAACAACAAAAATAGTTGACTGTACTAAAAAAGGCCTTCCTAAACACTCTAGCATAAAGACAATGAAGCCAATCATAAGAGAATTTGGTAGACGAATGTGTGTATGATAGATATATACATATATATCATATATATCTCATATATATATATCTCACAGCACCTAACACAATGTGTGAAACAGTGTTTAACAGAGAAAAAATACAACAGAAAATGTTTGTGGACTCAACTGCCATACATTAAAAAAAAGCATTATGGGGCCAGGTGTGGTTTAGTCCCAGCACTTGAGAGGCAGAGGCAGTCAGCTCTCTGTGAGTTCAAGGCCATCCTGGTCTACATAGTGAATTTCACACCAGCTGGGGATACAAGGAGACCCTGTCTCAAAAAAAAGCATTACTAGCCACGTGTGGTGGTTTAAGTACACCACATGTGTATATGGATAGTGCCGTGGATGCCAGAAGGCATTAGATCCCCTGGAACTGGAGTTACAGATGTTTCTTAGCCACCATATGGGTACTGGGAACCAAACCTGGTCCTCTACAAGAACACAAAGTACTCTTAACTGCTGAGCCAAATCTCCAGCTCCTACACAGATTGACAAATTCTAGCAGAAACCTATCCTAAGGAAATATTCTCATCTTGTAAGAGCTAAGGATTTGCCAGGCCTGGAATGAGATGAATAGGACTTTTGCCTTGGGCACACATTTTTTTTTTTCGTCTTTTTGAAGCAGGGTCTCCCTGTAGCCCCAGCTGTCGTGGAACTCACTACGTAGACCAGGCTGGCCTTGAACTCACAGAGATCCACCTGCCTCTGCCTCCCAAATGCTGAGACTACAGGCATGTGTCACCACACCCAGCTGAGAAGGAGATAGATTTTAAAATATTGCTATTATAGCTAATAATATAGGTACACCATAAACATTCAACAACAGGGAAATGGCTAAATACAAACATACATGTTGAAAATATGGAACATGGGAAATTGTTCAGTGTTAAGTAGAACAAAAATTATTTATATCACATATTACTGTACATTTTATACACGTGTGAGAATATATTTATATGAAGGAAAGAGATCAAAATGTTGTTTTTTTTACAACTGTATGAATGTTTGCAGGTTTGTATGTAAGTGCACCACATACATGCAGTGCCTACAGAGACCAGAAGACAGCATGGGATCACCCGGAACTGAAGTTACAGATGGTTGTTAGCCACCATGTGGGTGCTAGGAACAGAATGCGAGTCCTCTGCAAAAGCAGCTCTTAACCACTGAACCACCTCCCCAGTCACAACAATAATTATGAACATGTATGGAAGGCTTGTTTTGTGCCAGGCACTAACTTGAATATTTTTTCTGCAACATCTCACTTCACCTTTACAACTCTATGATGCACTATTATTTAGTCTTAGTATGTGAAACAAGGTTACAGGGATCATGTTTCCAAGGTCACACAACAAAGTCTCAGGGCTTGCCTTCAAACCTCTGTCTCAAATGGTAGGATGATGAGTGATTTATCCATTCTTCTTTATGCTTTCCCTTTGTTTCTAAATTTTCCATGATAAATATGTATTATTTATCTAAAGGAGACATAAGCCAGGCATGGTGGCATATGATTCTAATCCCAGAGGCAGGAGGATCAAGACCTGGACTCAAGGAGGGAAAAAAATAAAAATGGAAATAGATGCTACAGAAATAAAGCACACAAGTACTTCCCTTCCAACTTCTAGTGATGACTACTCTAAGTCCCTGGGACTTCTAAGAACCCTTTGGTCTGAGTGGCCTCAACAACTGTTGGGTGTAAGATGCACAGGCCATGCTTCTTCTATGCCCGCTACCAGAGGGGCAGGTGCAAAGCCAATATAAGCTTGAAGTCAGATGGGAGGACTGACCTCCTTGAGCCTCATAGTGCTCTTGAAAAAATGAAAGCATGCTTAACTGCTTTACAGGCTGGAGTAAGGTCTGAGTTAGTATTTGTCAAGGACTTAGCACAGCACAAAACAGATGGCCAGTAAACAGGCAATTTTAACTGCAATGATCTGGGCTCCAGATTCCATTTCTCAGAGCTTGTCTCCTCTCACCACAGGGGACAAGTGAGATGCCATAACTGTACCGGATATACAAGACCAAGTCCACAGAGCAAGGCCCTGACTCAACTTACTTAAGTTACCAACAGCTACATAAACCTTCCTTTCTGAAGTCCCGTTGCATCCTGATCACTACGTGGGCTGCACACTCACGCTCGAATCCGATCCTCGTGGTAAAAGATGTCCTGGATGGTAGCTTTGGCTTTGCCATATCGCAAATTGGGCTTCTGGAAGACAGGCTCCCTCAGCGGTGGAAAGGCCTTATATACATCATACCACAGAGGCTTCTCCTTCAACACCCCAGCCCGCATCAGGTTCCGGGTCCTTAGAGAGGGAACAGAACCAAAGGTCAGTCTGTTACTACAGCCTGCCAAATCCCCTGAATCTGTCTCCCACAAGCCAGAGCAGCATAGGAGAGGTGCTGGTATCCCACCTAGAGAGGGCATGGCCACATCCCATAACAAGGCCTCCATATTAGATCGTCCCGCCCCCTTTTTTGAGGCACGGTCTCCAGTAGCCTAGACTGACCTCAAAATCCGTGTAGCTGAATGAACTGCTCTTCCTTCCTCCACCTCCCCCCCTCCAGGCGTGTCCTCATCAGTCTGTCCTTTGTTGATTTATTTTTTAGAAGGGTCTGACATGTGCTCAGTCTGGTCTGAACTCACTACTATGTAGCCCAGGCTAGCCTTGGTCTTGCGGTGATCCTCTAGTCTCACCCTCTGTAGTGCTTGACACCACAGGCGTGAGCCACCACACTCAACCTCCTGGACGGTCCCAGCCCCCAACACATCCGGTTCCACCGAGGAATCGCAAGGGCCTACGGCCTCTTCTCTTCCTAGAGGCCTCCACGGAGGTCGGGTGGGGACGCAATCTTTAAGGCGACAGATGAGAAACCCAAGGGGACAAACACCGGCACGCTGATACCCGCCACCGCGTCCCGCTCAGGCCAAGCCAGAAGGAGGGTGGCCCGTTGGGAAGCCCACCTGGGGCAGATACCCTCCGCCCACACCCGGCTCCGGGCACGCACCGCGAGAACACGCTCCCCACGGTTTCCAGCCGGCTCCCCGCCATGGCTGCCTAGGACAGAATGCCTGGGGCCGCTGCCGGAAGCGGAAGCCACAGCAACCGAAGGGGAAACAAGCTGCTGGCTGAGCCGAGGATCGCAGCGCATCCAGAAGAGGAAACCAGGCAGAAACAAACGATAGGTCGAGCCAGCGCGCTCCCTCGCGCTGAGCCGGGTTCGGACAGGAGCGCTCGTTAGCCGAGCTGAAGTAGTAAATGACCGATCCTGGGACAGGACTGAGTGTGGCGCTTGCCGTGCATTTTCTGGCCTGCTTCTCCCCAGCAGGTCGGGCGGCGCGGAGGGATTGCCCGGTCGCTGGAGTGCAGCCCTGCATGCACGCTTATTGGAATGCTGCCTGCAACTGCTGTTGCATGGAGGCGTCACTGGGCCTCTTCTTGGAGTCTGAAAAATGAGTATCCAGAATTTACGCATTAGGAGAAGGAAGCTTAGACATCTGGGGAAAATAACCTTTCATTTTTAAGCTGTTCAGTGTAAAGACTTTGGGGGGAGTATGTGGCTCTGTAATCATGGGTTCAAGAGATGAATCCCGTGGAGATTGACGGCATAATTTCATCAGGATATTTGTACAAGGATGTCATTGCAGCAGTGTTTTTAGTGACAAGATTTTAAAAATCCATCAAATGAAAAGTGACTGAAAAGTTATGGTCCATACATTCTATGAAATGTTATGCAGCTGTTAAAATTAATAAACTGGGTCCATCTATACTTCCTTAATGTTCATTCATGGCTTGTGGTTAAATGACAAAGGAAGTTGCAGAAACACTTTAGTGGAATCCCAACTTCTAAGAGGAAGAAAAAAAAAAAACATCCTTCAACATACCAGCATAAAATCTACGCGGAAGGTGGGATACCACAAAACAAAATTGCAGGAGTTTTGTTTTTTCTTTATTCAAAGTTTGCCTTGTAAAGAGTTTGTATTCATATGTTAACTTCTTAATCCAATGAATGTTTTGAATCACACAGTAGGTCTCTAAGGAGCCCATTATCTTTCTTTGTAGGAAAGAGCCTGAAGTCATCACAAAGTCCTCCCACTCTTAGGGGTGCCCCGGAGGAGGAGGCAAGGACTGTTTGGAGGGCGCTTGTTTGTGTTACATTACTGATTCTCTGCCTACCCACCAGGTAGCTATTACCATCCTTATTGTACAAGAGAAAGCAAGGCGGTAGGAGGTTAAATAACTTTCTCTGATAAGCAACTGTTTGAACCGGGATCCAGCCCAACCTGGGCACTTCCAAGATCCCTCAAGCTACCTGACTTAGCCTAATGCTGGAGACTGGGAAGCTAAAAGGTTAAGGCCTGGACTGAGAGGTGGGCTTCTCTGCTGCCTCAGGACTCTGGAACAGCTGATATAGCACAGCTCTCGCACCTGGGTCAAGTCAAGGCTCCATGATCATAGTCCCAGAGAAATCTAAAAGCCAGCTCTGGGGAGAGCAAACATGCCCCTAGCTAAATATAACTTTCCCAGCCCTTAACAACTTTCTAATTCTGTCTACAGGAGAGTTATCTGCCAGCCCAAACTACAAACACACTTCTTCCTCCAAGGCCTGCCCCTGTAAGCTAGCACAGTCAATGCTGCTAAAGAATTAGAAGGGTTTAGTCCATGTTCAGGGAGGGAAGCCAAAAAAGAAATTGTAAGGTGGGATTTTCTCCCTAAATCTTCTTGGGACAGTCCCTTTCTCTTTTGAGCCTTTGAAATTTCCCTCCACAGAATCATATTTAGTGCTTCTGCAAATGAAGAAGCAGAATACTGGTGTGCAGAGTGAGGAGTCCTTGGGGCTGTGGAAACATGATGGCTTAGAGCCTATGACAGGAAGTGTACACTCATAACACAGAAGAAAGTTGTTGGGTAGCTGGGAACAGAAAGAATGGATAGTTAAGGCTTTCTGTCTTCTTAAGTAGGGACCAGAGCCTCTCAAGGCTGAAAGGGGCTAGGACACATAATGTTGGTGAGCAACTGTCCCAAAATAGTTACAGCATCGTTGTTGTGGCCCTCTGGAAGTGCAGCTTTTGATGACATTTCGTAGATTACCTGGAAGGACCTATATCCACTTCTCACATTTCGAGACATGATCTCACTAAGTTGCCCAAGCTGGCATCGAATCCACTTTATAGCCCAGGCAGGCCTTGAACTTGTGATCCTCCTGTCTCAGCCTCTGGAGTAGCTGGAGTTGCAGGTGTATATCAGGCCTGGCATTTTTATTTTCTATTTTTTAAAAAATTCTGGTTAAAAAACCAATTTTGTTATATTTTATTTATTTATATGTGTATGAGTGGTTTCCCTGCGCATATGGGCACCATGTACACGCAGTCTGCAGAGGCTAGATGAGGTCTCAGATCCCCCTAGAAGTGGAGTTACAGACAGTTGTTAGCTGATATATGGGTTTAGAGAACTGAACCTGGGTCCTCTTTAAGAGCAGTCAGTGCTCTTAACCATTGAGTCATCTCTCCAGCCTTGGTTTATTTTCTTGATGAATGATCCACTCTTCCTGAAAGCACAAGTTCTCACCTGACTCTGCTGAGTACTAAAGATATTACTTGCCCAGTTTCAGGAGATGGGGAAGCAAGTTTTTTTTGTTTGTTTGTTTTTGTTTTTGATGTTTTTGAGACAGGGTCTCCCTGTAACTCCAACTAGCCTGGAGCTCACACTATGTAGACCAGGCTGGCCTCCAACTCATAGAGATCCGCCTGCTTCTGCCTCCCAAGTGCTGGGATTAAAGGTGTATGCCACCATGCCCAGCAGAAGCAAGCTTTTTTTTTTTTTTTTCGTTTTTTTGAGACAGGGTCTCCCTGTAACTCCAACTAGCCTGGAGCTCACACTATGTAGACCAGCCTGGCCTCCAACCCATAGAGATCCGCCTGCTTCTGCCTCCCAAGTGCTGGGATTAAAAGGGTTTGCCCCCATGCCCAGCAGAAGCAAGCTTTTTTTTTTTTTTTTCGTTTTTTTGAGACAGGGTCTCCCTGTAACTCCAACTAGCCTGGAGCTCACACTATGTAGACCAGCCTGGCCTCCAACCCATAGAGATCCGCCTGCTTCTGCCTCCCAAGTGCTGGGATTAAAAGGGTTTGCCCCCATGCCCAGCAGAAGCAAGCTTTTTTTTTTTTTTTTCGTTTTTTTGAGACAGGGTCTCCCTGTAGACCCAGCTGTCCTGGAACTCACTATGTAGACCAGGCTGGCCTTGAACTCACAGAGAACTGCCTGCCTCTGCCTCCTGAGTGCTGGGATTAAAGGCATGTGCCACCACACCCAGCTAGAAGCAAGCTTTTTAAAAATTATAGATAGAAATCAGATGTGGTGGCACACACCTTTAATCCCAGTCTACACAGTAAATTCCAGACCAGCAGTGCTGCATAGTGAGACCCTGTCTCAGAAACAAACAAAAAATTATACATCACCCTGCAGACCAGGCTGGCCTTGATCTCAGAGATCTGCTAACATCTGCCTCCAAAGTATTAGGATTAAAGATTAAAGATGTGCGCCACCACACCAACCCACTAAATAGCTTAAGTGTATTAGGTGTTTGCTAGGGCTACCATAAAGTATCACACAGCAGGGGGGCTAAACCAAGAAATTAATCTCACAATTCTAGAGAAGTCCTAAGTGTCTATAAGGTTCTTTGGGTTGTGGTAGTGGTTTTTTGAGACAAACTTTTAGGCTGGGGATGTAGCTCAGTTGGTAGAGTACTTGCCTAGCATGCACAAAGTCCCTGGGTTTGATCCCTAGCATCAAATAAAACCACTTGTGATGGTGCACACCTATAGTCCCAGGACTCCAGAGATGGAGGCAGGAGGATCAGATATTCAAGGACATCCTCAACTACATAGCAAGTGTAGGCCAATCTGGGCTACATGACATCATGTTTGTGGGAGAACAGGGACTCTCACTCTGTAGTCTTATACTCTGTAGTTCAGGCTGGCCTCTCAGCAATCCTCCTGCCTCAGCCTCCTCAGTATTGTACCATCCGCTGGTTGGAGTTGGTGTTTCTGTGGTCTGCCTCTTTACCCTGTAGATGGCAGTCTTTGCCCTGTAGATGGCGGTCTTTGCCCTGTGCTTTCACATGGTCTGTTCTCTAAGCAAGGATGATATGTGTCCTAATCTCTTCTTATGAGGACATCAGTCATACTGGACTAAGGTCCACTTTTATGTACTCATTTCAGCTTAACTGATACTTTAAAGACCCTGTCTCCAAATGCAATTATTGTGAAGGACTTGGGGTTAGGACTTCAGTTTATGAAACTGAGGGGGGAGGGGACAAGGTCAGCCCATAACACTGATTAGTAAGTATGGCTTGGAACAGCTCTGGTTTGCCCACTTATCTTTGGCCACTCTTCACCTTGTCGTATGCTGCAGGAACCTGGCTTCTGTGGACTGCATTCCCTAACTCCTTGCTCTCTGCTTCCAACTGGATTCTAGTTGGTTCTTCAGTGGAAGGCATTGGCAGAGGGTGGAAGGAAGGAGTGGGCACACTCCAAGAACATAAAGACACAGCCTGCACTGGGTCCCGCTTTATACAGCTTTCAGATCAGGTTCAGCTCCTAAACCGTGCTCTTGTACTATCCTTAAGGTCTAGGCTACATACCTATCCCAGGTGGTTTCCTATATTCTGCCAACTTTGTAAATATCACCCTTGTTTAAGTAGTGTATGAAGATTTGTCAGACAAAAAGAACTGTTCCAAGAGTGGAAGAGCTTTGTTGTTGGGGAAATCATGAGAACTGCTATTCACATGTGGTTGAGAGCTGGGCTCAAGGGACAATTAAGAAATTGCTTTATTTTTTTAACATTTATTTTGGAGGTCAGAGGGCAATCTGTGGGCTCTCTCCCTCTACCAGGTAGGCTTTGGGGATCAAACTCAGATCGTCAGACTTTGCAGCAGCGCCATTATCTGCTGAGCCATCTTGCTGGT